CAGAGCGCTCAAGTGCCCGCAGCTATCAGAACTAAATGGTAAATGATTTCTCTTTAATCAATCTGATTAAATTGGAAATTCTCTAATAATTAACAATGCTCTAATTGAGTGTGCTTCAACGGGCATCTACTAATAAGGGGAATATCCAGAAGCTACAGAGATTTTCTCAACAACGGGATTTGAATATCGATTTTTATGGATTGTTTGGAAACGGGGCAAGCTATCGGCTATCGGAACAAACTAGAAGGACCTCACTTCAAGTCTGGCCACGGCCAGATAGACTCGGCTATTGGTGCTGACCAAGTATATATAAATATATATTAATGGGGTCGGAAGTGCTTCGCTTTGCTTGTTACATACATTCGTACAAAACCATTATACCCTTTAAATCCATTTTCAATGGGTTCAGGGTCCAAACACACATTCATACACATTAAAATCAACAAGAGTTCGTAAATTGCGCCCAAGCTCTGCTCTTCTACTTTTATGCCAATCAAATTAACGGTACTCTGTAGTGCTCCAAAATAACCGATAATATATACAGCCGAAATTAAGATGAGCTTTTTGGGAAAAGGGCATGGCGCAATTTGTCTGTTGATGCTAATCGAGAATATATATTATAATAATAATATTTAATGCTTGGCACCTCACAATAATAGACAGTATTAATTTATAAATATATTTATATTATTATTATTTTATACATATGATTACAATATTAAGAGACACAAAAGTAGCTCGCGTGTAGTTCGTACAAAAATAAATGAGCAAAAGCTCAATTCTGTCAGAATATCTGTCATATTGTACATTGTACATTGTTGTATGATATATGGCCTTGATATTGAAATATCTTTGAGTATAACGCGTTTAACCTCGATAGAATTAAGAGCTCTGCTGCCCAAGCAGATTGTGTGTGGCAGCAGTTAAATGAGCAACTGTCGATGTCTTTGCCACTGGCGCAGCATTTGCCACTTGTCCAAAAGTTGTTCGTTTAGTTCTGGCCTCACGCACACACACACACAGGCACACATACACACACATACACACAGTAAAACTCTGTTAGATACAGTCACCTGTGTCTGCTTCATGTTCCCATGAAATGTAAATTAAAATGTCGAATTAATTGCCCAAGTACTGAGACCGAGCCCGTCCGAGCCGAGGCCGCTTCTTGGTATTCTCCCAGCCTCCGACACGAGCAACTAACGAGATTCAATCAGCGAGCACTTTACCAGCAATTTCTGTGTCATTAAAATTAAGTATATTTATTTACTTGGAATCGAAGTTGTCTCATGGCTCTTCTTCTGCTTCTTCTTGAACTTGCTGCTGGCATCCACAATTACCCAAATTTGAATGCATTTGATGATGATTACAGTTGAAAATAATCCTGCATCTGGAATACCAAACAGAAGCTTATCAGTTACGACCGGCAACCGGTTTGTGAACCCAACTAAAGAAACCCCCTTGTGACATCACTGGAAATGTCCACGAACTGCATTCAACCCAGTTTGGTGAGGCACTAAAATTAAATCTTAACTAGAGTTGGGTTATCAAATAGTTTTGTGAAGAAGAATTTCGTTTCAATTTTCCCAGAAAATTGCCAAGTCAAAAGAACGTTGTCAACAAAATGATATTCATTAATTGGTTTGGCTTAAATAAAAATGTTTACTTTTATTAAAAACTAATTTAAAAACAAGGTAGAGCCTGACTAGGGGAGATACCCTGTACCAAGATCAAATGCAGCTGCCACTAAATGGGAGGTGGGTGCGGCAGTAGCTATAAAATGAAAGGTGCTTGATCTGTATGTACTATTCTAGAAGCTACATGTCAAACTTGTTGAGAGATATGCTGAAAAACGGATTTTCGTTATCAATCCTTATCGACCTTATCGACGGGACCTAAATTCAAGTCTCATTTTCAAGTCTCTAGCTCTTATAGATCTTCTTAGATCGATGCGTTTATACATACGGACAGACGGACATATATACTCTATGAGCCTGGAGATGCTTTCTTCTGCCTGTTACATACATATGCTCAAATAGATTATACCCTTTTCACCCAATTTCAATGTGTTCAGGGTATAATAAAAAATATTTCGCTTGAAATTGAGAGGTAATTTATGGAGAGCAATGGGAATTGCTTGCTTTCTTAACTTTCCTTTGCTTGCAGATAAAATTGGGCCTAGAAAGAAAAACTACCTATTTACAGATTGTAGATGTTGTAATGTAAAATTTGTGCAAATATGAATCCAAATTTCTTAAATCAAATAATTAAAATATTCCAAGCGTATTTTACGCAGCTGCTTTACAGCTGCATTCACAATTTGCCAAGGCCATAAGCCAATGAGTCAAAAACCGCTTCGATCCTGTCCAAAACCATCTACAGGGTATCTAAGCTCAATTCGTTGCATGAATAACGAGTGTCGCTCGCCTGTCACATGCCAAACATGTCGAGTCTGTGTGGCATTGGACATTGTTGGGTTGTATCTGTATCTGTACTTACATCTGTATCTGTATCTGCATATGCAAATGTGTCTGCTGCCGCATATCTAGCTACATATTTGTCCGTATGCGTATCTGTTTGGCAAGTGAATTCGCGCTGGCCAAAAATTGAACAACAGTTGATCCTATTTCAAATGTCAAGTTAGCCCGACGCAGCGCAACATTCTCTACCTGTCTCGCTCCCGCTTTGTATCTCTCTCTCTCTCTCTCTCTCTCTCGCCCTCTTTCGCTGTCTCTCTGGCCAACTCTATCTGCGTCTCCGACTACTTGACTGTCACATCTCAATAACCCTCGAGTGGTTTTCAATTGTCTCCAAAAATAAACGCATTTGCATCCCCCCAGCGACGAAGCAGACGCACACACATACTCACACTCACACAGCCCAATCCCAATCGCAATCCCATTTGAAATGTTAATTTTTAACGCTTTGTAAATTTTTCTAATATTTCATAAGGCCAAAAGAAATATAAAAAAAAAAAAAAATGCGCTGCACGAAGCGAAACCTTTTCCTTTGCTTCCGTCGCATTGCCAACCACTTGAGCACAAAAGTCACCCACTCGCCGCCACCCGCCGGGCGCCCCGCTGACGTCTCCAGTCTCGTGACATCATCCAATTCAGAAAACTTAAAAGTAAATAGATCCCCAGAGATGAGAGCAGCCATTTCACAGCACAACGTTGTCGTTGTCATTGTGGTTGCCATGCTCCATGTGCACCACACCATTGCGTGTGTATGTGTGTGTGTGTGTGTGTGTGTGTGTCTCAAGTGACAATGCTGCCAAGGATCATCTCATAATGTGGCAAGCATTTAGCTGTCTGACTGACGCACAGACCCACTGACGGATTGCCCGACTCGTCCGCCCTCTCACTCGCTCGTATCCTTTTTGTTATTGCTTCCTCTTGTTTTTTGTTGGTTGTTTTTTTTTTTTTGTTTTTTGTTTTTTGTTTTTTCGTTTCCTCGACAGGCCGAGTCGACTCGCAACTCCCCTCTCGAGGCGGCACTTGACATTTTCACAGTCTTCACGCATTCATGTCAATTTTGCGGTTTCGGTTTCACGCAATGCTCTGCTCGCTGCTCCAGCCCTGGATCCGAATCCGGCAACTCCATTTGGATTTTTCATATTCTGAATTCTGAATTCTGAATTCGGCATTTGGAGCCCCGGCAAATGTTCTTCTATTCATATGGCATTTGAGTGCCTGTCTATCTAATGAGCATCATGTGTGTCTGTCCGTTGTTGTGTGTGAGTGTGTGTGTTTGTGTGTGTGTGTGTGTGTGTGTGTGTGTGTGTGCGTGTGTGTGTTTTATGGTCGTCCATGCTTGTAATCTGTACATAAGTGGCCTCAGATGCCTATCCATAACGATGATGTTATTGATGCTGATGCTGATGCCGATGAAGATGCTGATGATGTGGTTGCCAGCGGACCAGTCAAATAAATCCACCAAAGCAACCCGAAAGCGGTCTGCGGCGAATGTCACGCCCTCTACGAATACAAGTACATATCAAAGCTTTTCATTTAATAGAGCACGAGCTGCTAACATAACTGATCTGCACAAAATATTCCTGAACAACGAGCATTTGATTTGACTCAGTTAAGTTAATTAAGTTTAATAACCTTAGCCAATATTTCTAATAAAAAAACAATAAATATGATGATTATTATAATAATAATAATAATAATAACTATACAAATAATACAAATAATAATAACAAGAACAATGAGAATACTAACCAAAATAATAAATATATTCCGGGAATACCTTCTATCGCTTTCATCAATGGAGGTGGAATAAGCCCGATGTGTTGCTTTAAGGCTTCATTCCACTTTCATAACTACTTCAGTTTATTTTTATTGCCACTCAGTAAAATATTCTGACTCAAAATGAAAATAAAAAGCAATTCCAAGTGATTCTTAAATTTGAAATAATATACGATTATTTCATTGAACTACTTTTAAGAAAGAGAGAAGCAGAAAGATAGAGAGGGAATGATAGTAAGGTGTAGAAAGACAGGAAGAGATTGAGAGAAAAGTGAGAGGATGAATATTAATCCCAAACATGGCTTCACTTAAAACTCGTAAGGAATTTAATTTCATTTGAAAAAATGTAATCATGAGCTGCTTCCAAATAAAGCTCCACATGAGGAAGAGCCACATCCTCAATTTTTAAAAAATTGTAGAGTTCACTGAAGATTAAAAGATCTAAACTTTAAGTACGTGTGGCTTATTCAAAAAGCCACATGCTAAATTTTACGTTTTATGATTCCAATGCTATCCACAAAGATTGAGACTTGCCTTAGGATATGATCACTTGATCATGATAAAGCGAGTGCTTAAAGTTTTATGCAATCGAAGCTTTATGTTTCTAAAGCCATTTTATAGCCATAAAACAGGATAGTTCCAATAACTCTCTAAGAGCATCAATTATATTCTTATGAATATAAAACCCATTGCTGAAATTGCCCCGCAGTTTAAAAAAAAAAAAGAATGTAAATAATACACAGGACATTTTGTTTTGTATGTTTCTTGAATTTCGTTTGGTTTTATTGTTCAAATGAAATATCATTTATTAAATACACAATGAATCTCTTAGGGAGCACATTTTTCGATTTTCGATAGAGCAATAACATTTCCATTTCCACTGAACATCCATGGATATATTAGCAACAACTAAAGGTATCCATGTGCGTACAGAATTTGTTTAGTAAACTATAAAAAAAGGGAGAAGGGCCTGACGAGGGGTGGGTGGGGTAGCAGTAAATACACAGGGGCATAAACACACGAGATATGTTGTTTTTTTTTTTTTTTTATAATTTTCTTGCTTTTTTTTTGTTATCGTATATATAGTAGTTTTTATATACCTACATAAAGTTAGTTACAAATACAAATAGTTATTGGCTACGAAAAAAAATTGTTGCACTTAAAATTACATAATATATTATTAATATACTTTGCTTTTTAGTTTAATATTTATAAATATCAATACTTCGTTGTACGCCGTACAGTGGGCCAAAAGAGTTGCGCATTCAAGGAGCTAACACACACACACACACACACGCACGCACACACACACACACACATACACACACACAGACAGACACTCTTTTGCGAGCTCTTCTGGTCACACTGGGTGCACTTGCACTGAGGAACGGATTGAATACTATACACTTAGATGTCGTATTATCTTAGAATACAGGAAAAAAAAACATTATTTGTGTAAAAAAAAAAATATATATATATATATACGATTTATATATAACACAAGTACGAGTAGAAAAGCTAAGTTCCAGCATGGTAACATAATCATATAAACCAGATCGGATTCTGTTTGTCAACGTCCATCTCCATTTCCATTTCAATGCAGATCCAGATTCAGTTACAGTTAATCTATATAGGCCATTTCATGGCTGCATGCCCAAAAAAAAAAAAAAAAAAAGGGGGTAGGGTTGCGAGGGGGTTGCTTTTTAATTGAGAACATTTGCTAATTGCTTGAGCTCTGCCAGGGCGAGGAGCGCGGGCCACTCTTAGACGGAGATGGCGGCATTGGTGGGCGGCATATCGCTGTATTGGGCAGGCTGCGGCGTCGTCGGCGCCGTTTGCGGGGCCTTCAGGTTGCTGCTGCTGAGCAGCATGGAGCGGTAGACCTCGGAGAGCAGATTCCAGGGTGCGGCAGCTGTGGGCGACTGGGCGGCGCTGCTGGTGGCGCTGGCGCTGGCGGTGGCGGCGGCGGCCGCTGCGGCGGCAAACATTTGCGTCTGGAGCAGCCGGAAATGATGGTGCTCCTCCAGATCCATGCCGAAGAGCAGGCCGGGCGGCGACGGAGCCAGCGCGTGACCAGAAGCCACGGAAACCGAACTGGAGCCGGCGACGGAGACGGAGCTGGGCATGGGGTTGGGCTGCGGTTGGCGGTTGGGACTGATTGCGGCTGCGGCTGCGGCTGCGGCGTCAGGCGAGCAGCTGCTCTGCAGGTGTTTACGGGCCTGCGGCGTGGACAGGTCGTGGGCGTGCTCGTCGTGGTGGGCGCGCCGCTCGTGACTGTGCGCATCGGTGCTGTCGCTGTCCAGCTCCAGTTCCATCTTGATGGCTGTCGTCGACTCCTGGGAGCTGGAAGCGCAGCTGTCGTGACGCCGGCGCTTGCCGAGCAACCGTTCCATGGAAAAGCCGCTGCCACCGCAGGGACTGGGCGAGCGTTTGCTGCGGCGCTCGCATAGCTCATGTTTTGGCTCTGGAGCTGGTCTTGGCTGTGGCTCCGGTTCCGGTTCCGGCTGGCGTTCGCGTCGCTTGTGCAGACTAAAGTCCAGGGGCTGCTCCGTGCGCTCCTCCTCATCGAAGCTGGTGTGACTGTTGGTATTGCTGGCCAGGCTCAGGCTGCAGTGCAGCTCCGCATCCGCCTCGTTGTCCGCATCCGTATCCGCATCTGCATCCGCCTCGCTGTGGCAGTCCTGACTAGCTGGACTGGAGCTGTTAGCATGCATGTCCACATATACGTAGACACCCTCATCATCGGCATCCGCATCCGCTTCGGCATCCGCATCGGCATCGGCATCGGCATCGATATCCGCGTCCACGTCCGCATCAATGTCCGCATTCGCCTCGGCAAAGAGCCGCTCGTGCTGCGTGCGGCCCGCGAGCAGGCCAAGATTATGCAGACCCGACTGGCCGCCAAACATGACGTGAGCCGCAGCAGCCGCCGGCCCGTAGCCCACAGCCGGATGATGGGGATGATGTGGATGGTGTGCATGATGTGGATGAGGTGGCGGCAGCAGCCCCGGGAAGGCTGCAGCTGCGGCAGCGGCCGCCGGGAACACGGGAAACTGTTGAGCGGTTCGTCCGTCATGCGGCGAAATCTTGCGGCGAATATGCGGCGAATGGAGCTTCGGATTCGGATTGGCGCTGTGCCGATTCCGCGAACGTCTCGAGCTGAACACCATGTTGCAGCCATCCACGGTGCACTTGTGCATCTCGCGCAGATGCACCGCCGAGAAATGGATCTTGAGCGCGCCCTTGTCGCAGAAGGTCTTGAAGCAAATCGAGCACTGGACACGCTTCTTGCCCGTCGCCGGATTGATGAACTGACCCGCTAAATTGATCGGCGGCGAGCCCCAGCGCTTTGGCTTCGCATGGCTCGCAAGTGAACTGGAGCTGCCCTTGCCGCTGCCGCAGCCAGCTCCAGCTCCAGCTCCAGTGCCAGTTCCTGTTGCACCCGCTGTGCCCGGCGAGCTGGCTGGCGATTTGGCGGTCTGGCCCATGTGCGAATGCGGATGGGCATGCGGGTGTCCCAGCAGATAAACGGGCGGCATGAACGGATTCATAATGTGCTCCATTGTCTTGGGCAAATGCTACAAACGAAATGGAAAAAGTCGCTGATTAGAAAATTGTCTGCATGTGTGTGTGAAATACTAAGGAATTCTTAAGATACAATTGTAGCTTAACAGCTAAAAAACATCTATGAGATACTTAGCTAAGATACAGTTGCAGCTAATGTTAACTTGGAGTTACACAAAGTAACTGTTAGATACAATATCTATGAGCCAAACAACTAGATTATTAAGTATCTGCAAGATGCAGCATGCATCTGATGGATACAAAATGCAATGCAGCTTTAGGTTTTGATTAAAAGTTACAAAAGAAACGTTTAGCTACAAAAAGTAACTACAAGATACAAGCTGCACCTGCGAGATGCAATTAAAGCTAAGTTACAAATGCAGCTCTGAGTTATTAAAAGTTTTAATATCACCATGTATCTGTAGGATACAAAGCTATTTGTAAGATAGAGATACAAAAGTAGCTTTTCAATAGACTAGTAAATGCACACAGAAGTATCTTAATACATTGTCAACTGGTACTGCCACGCTCAGATACAAAAGTATCTTTTGGTGAAGCAAAGCAACTGTTTCTTTTTGCCGTCGGCCCGCCGAATGCACTCGACTGATATGTAAGAGATAATTGTTGTGCTGATTTTGTCCTCAATCGGCCCTCAGCGCTGGTTGTCAACTGGCAAACTGGCAAACTGGAAAGTCCAAAGTGTCGAGGATGTCAATCAAAGCGCTCGCCAAGTCAGTCGCTCGAGCAGGGCTGCGAGAAGGGCGGACGCGTCCGCTTAGCGGGGGAGTTCAAGGCAATGGCAACGGCAACGGCAACAGCTAAATCCTAATCAGAAACTAATACAGGGGGGTGGGGGGCGGGTTAGGAGGCTGGTGGCAGGGTAGGGCGAGGGCAGTTGCTGTGACAGCTGCAAAAGTTACGCAACTTTTGTGTTATCATCGCTTGCCGTTTACCCCCCCTCATTGCGACCCCTTCCCCTGACTGGTTCCTGCGAGATGACAGCAGCATCCAATGCCAATTACAGATTTCAGATTTGCTGCGCAATTAAATCGTGGGCACAACGAGAACGCACAGTGGTACGAAAAGTGTCAAAGCAGAAAAGTATCTCAAAGTACAAATGTTATTCGAGCAGCTCAAATTAAGAAGAGGCATTGCATAATTGCAAAGGGGTAAACATTTTGATTGCAATTCCAACAGATATTTGTCTAGAAGCGGGCGGCTTTTTGTGCCCTTGACGCACTGCACTGGACCGTACCGGACCGGAGTTGTATTGGCCGTCAGCAGCCGCTGCCCCGCCGTCTTTGGATCATTTGCTCATTTGCTTGGCCAAAATCTTTTACAGCCTTTTCGGCTGTCCGGGGCACCCATTAAAACCGCAAAGACGACGACAACATGCGGTGATCGGCAGCTAGTCCAAGTCGTTTTTTATTGTTAATGTTGTTGCCGTGTTTCACCGCCTGCCGCCTGCCGCCTGCCGCTCGCTACTGTAATTGCGGCTGACGAGCGGCGCAGAATTGATGGCCAAAGTGTGGCGGGAGCGGTGGGGACAACGATGGGGACAATTGTTAACGCGACGATGGGGATCGCGGTCGCGTCATGTTGAGCGATCAGCGCTGTTAGCCGACTCTGGCTGCCCCTCTCAGTCGCTATCATTTGGAATCAATCTCAAATGTTCAACAAACACATACGCCAATGTCGACAGCACACATAAAGGCACACACAAATACATATACATACATATATATACCATTTCAAACTAACGTGTGCAGCCCAGCTGAGCTTGGAGGTATGTACTTCTTGTGCCCATATAATCCAATAAAGTATACGGATTAAGCTTGGACACATGAAAGAATCCATGAAATATGTGGGAAAATGCAACTGTTTGCTTAATATGCAATACAAGATACAACAATTTCCATGAGATACAAATGTATCTTTACTATGAAGTAATATAACAAAAACGGAACTCCAAACGTAGGTCCAAGTATAGATATAAAAGTATCTATGAGATACAAAAGTATATAAAGTATATATGATTCAAATGTATCTTTGATAAACAAGAATATATAAAAATTTTCTGAGAAGAAGCCTGCTCAAAGATTAAAATGTATCTTTGTGATACAGAGCTATCTATAAGATACAAATGTATCTTTTATAAAAGTCTGAACGCCTTCAAAATACTTGGAACAAAAACTAAGTGAAAGCAAGGCTACAAATCCCAGATCATACGAAATGTATCTTCGAGATACAAAAGTATCTTTATGATACAAAAGTATCTACCACATCGAAATTGACTGCACAGGATCAAATCTCATCTGCTGACAGCTAAAGCCTAGCCAGCGCACAGTGGGGCAAGACATTTACACAGAACGGATTCGATTGCAAGTTCTGCTGTCTGCTCAAAATTGGATTAAAACCTTGTTTTAATAGCGGAGAGTCATTAGAAACGATAGCAACTATAACAACAAAACGACATGTGTAATGCCAGTGTGTGTGTGTGTGTGTGTGTGGTAATTATTTTTGTCAAACGCTTTAAATATCTTAACAACGACAACAACAAAAAACCAATCACAAATTTTGATGGCCAGCATCGAATGTGCTTTTGTTGTTGTTGTTGTTGTTGTGTGTTTTTTTATTATCGGCATGTTGAAAGTCACAAATTCCAAGAGCTGACGAGAGACGACAACAACTCCTGTTTATAGCTGTTGCTGTTGTTGTTGTTGTTGTCGGTTGTTGTTGCTTGTTGGTTGTTGCTGTTAGTACACATTATAATAAGCAGCGGACAAGCAACAGCCACAATAACAACAATTGGAGGAGCAATGAACGGGAAAGAGATGATGATGACGATGATGATGCTGGTCTCTGGCCCCTGGTCTAGTGCTAAGCTGTGCGCGTATTAGTATCTCAATTTGTATCTCAAGCAACATTTAGAAAGACAAAAACCTTAATTACAAATTTCAGATTGCTTATTTTGTTTTTTTTTTTTTTTTTTGCTGTATTTTCGCTCGAAATTTGTTCAACCAATTTTGGCCACTTGCCGACGGTAAAAACAGAAACGAGAAAAAAAAAAAAAAAGAAACGAAATAAAACTAACTAAATAAATGAATGTACTTACAATTTTTGCTGCTAGTGAAATTCTCCACAAAAACTGTGTTTGTTGTCTTTTTTTGTTTTGTTTCAATTTGTTTGTTTTGCTTTGTTTTTCTTTATTTAATAATTTGTCACCAAAAAAATTTCACATATTTTTTGTGTATTTAGTTTATATTGTTGTGGTTCGCATTAAAAATGTTTTCTTTTATTTTTATGAAATATTATTTTTATAATTGTTGCCCGAACGCGACGGCGACGGCGACGGCGAAGTCTCACGAGGCACACACAAAACACAGAGACGAAGGCTACGAAATAACGAAATAACAGTTATTGTTGTGACGGTGACGGTGACGGTGACTGTGACTGTGACTGCGACAGAAGCAGAAGCAGCGGCAGCAAAAGAGATCCACTCCTTCGAAAGTCGTGGGTGACACTGATTGTCGTGCGGCTGCGAGCAGAAAAAATGTAACGACGACGACGACGACGACGACAAATGCGACAGCGACAACAGCAGCAGAGACAGCGGCAGCACTCAGCATACAGCACATACACACGTACACACGCATACGCAGCGGCAGCGGGGTGGGTGACACTTTGCTCTCGCAACGACGAGCGACGGCAAAGAGCAGCGAGGCAGCAGCAGCAGCAGCAGACACGCAGCAGCGGACAAGTTCAACGTAACTGCCCCACAAACGTCTACCTGAAACGCAGCCAGCCAACGAGCGAGTGAGCGCTTTGTCAGTGTGCGTGCGTCTGTGTCCCTGTGTGCCTGTGTGCCTGTGTGTGTGTGTGTGTGTGTGGCTGTGAGAGCAAGAGTATGAGAGCAGAGACGTCGCTTGGGCTATTGGAATTGGCCTGCAGTTGTATAGTTGTAGTTGATATTGTAGGTGTATTCGTGTTTGCTGCCGCGCGGTCTTTGTGATGCCTTTTGCTGCTGCTGCTGCCGCTGCCGCTGCCACCGCCTCTGCTGCTTTTGCTGCCTCTGCTGCTCTTGCTGCTTGTTTAGGCTGTGTCACATTGTCGTCGTTGGGTCATCACACATACACACATGCACGTACTATCCAGCACAAGCGAATGCGATAGCGCTATTGGCAGTTGCCTCTCTCTTGTTCAGTCACACCAATGCCGCTTGCGCAAAGCAGTCGGTTAAGCAGTGCAGAGCAAAGAGAAACAAGGCTCTCTTCGGTTTTTATGTTGATTGCATTTGCAATAAGCCTAAAATATTTACCGGTCAAAAACTTAAAGCCCATTTATGACAGCATACAATTTTAAAGTATACCTTAAGAGCATTGCAAACACTGTCATCGCTTCTGGGTGGGGGTTGGCGGGGGCATAGGCGTAGGCGTAGACGTAGGCGACTCAAATTTCTCACGCACACAGACAGAGGCATACGCATGGTCAACGGTTTGCTGTGTGCGTTTAGGGAAAAAATAATTCGTGGGACATCGACCACGACCACAGTCAAATGGCTGCGTACAGTGCTGTGCGTGTCTGTGTGTGTGTGTGTGCGAGCGGCGCACTAAATATTTTTGGCTATTGCCGACTCGCTCGCACATTGTCGTCTGAGTGGACGAGTGGTTGACATGCGACGTATTTGTGCTTGCTGACCGAGCGAGCAAGCGGCCAGAGCAGCAGCAGCAGCACCACACACACACACACACACACACACACACACCTGCACGCTCACGCACCTATTGCTCACTCTCCCGCTCTGCTGGCCACAGCGTCACACAGTGTCATTTGCTCGCCAACCAAAGAGCGCCAGTGCGCGCTCTCTCATGGGGCTAGCCGTATTGGTATGCGTGTGCGTGTGTATGTGTGTGTGTGTCGCCCCATTAGCCAGCCCGCGTGTGACAGAGCTAAAACGAGTTGGCCCCATCATTTGTTCGAATGAAATGGCAATGGCCAGCCAATTCGTCGTTGTCGCTGCTTATTGTCGCTGTTGCTGCCGCCGGCAGCGACGCCGACCGCAGCAGCGCTGCTCAGCGTGCATGTGCCGTAGCTTACTTGAAATTGCCGTCGTTTTGTCTTCGTCTCATTATGGGCCATGGCAATGTTGTTGTTGTCGCCTTCGCCTTCGCCTTCTCGCTGTCGTCGTCCTCCTCCTCGACGTCACACGTTGCTTTTTGCTCTTTTTTTTTTGCTTGTTTTTTTTTTTTTTTTTTTTAAATTTTTGTCATTTGATTTCTTGTCCACTGCGCTCTGGCGACGGGGCGGTGGCAGCGACTGCGAGCTGAGAGCTGAGAGTGTGTGTCCGTCTCTTTTTAGTAAACACCAATGAGTGCCCTGCCCGTGCGATTGTGTGTGTGTGTGTGTCTCTCGATGTGTTCGTGAGCACACCTCTCGCTTGCTGCAAACGGCGACGGCAGCAACGACTTTGCTTTACTGGCTATGCGATTGCGCCACAAATTTATATAGCTGTATGTGTGCTCGTGTGTGTGTGTGTGTGTGTGGTGTACGTGTGTGTGTGTTTGTATGTGTCACACAAAACGACACTTTAACATGGGGGCGATTTTTCCTGTCTCCTGCACCAATAGTATTTGAGCACCGCTCTGGTGACAAAGGCACCCGACCCCGACCACAGTTCATGCCACGAAGCGAATTGCTGCTATTGCTGCTGCTGCTGCTGCTACTGCTGCTGCTTCTTCTTCTTCTTTATCTTATGATTTGCTTTCATTTTGTTTTTATCGTTTTTTTATGCTGCTTATGTAAAGCAAAAGTTCTACATGCATTTACATACATATGTGTGTGTATATTCAACTGCGTGTGCGAGTGTGTATTTGTGTGCTGGCTAAAGGGATATATAAACATTGTCCCTTTGATAAATATGGTATATACATGCATATATGTATATATGTATATATTATTTGGCTTATGTAATATCTGAAAACTATATGCAGCTGGCCAACTGATTTGGCAGCCAAGTTTTCTGCTGCTGTTGCTGCTTTTAATTGCCTTCAGCTTTAGCCACGAGCAACGCATGACTTTAACTTGAATTAATTTAAATATATATTAACTAGAAAGTACATGTTAATGTGGGTTTCGTTTCAGTCTTGTTCTTGTTAAGGCTAACCTTGAATAGTTCAGTGAAAGTTCTCTCTTCTAAGGTTTCCGTGCCTTGTCCTGGTTTAGCAGGGGTCTGCTTTAAGGATATGCCAAAAATAAGATTTAAAACCAAACATTTTGAAGTCCCAACTTCGTATCAAAATAAGAAGAAACCCAAATCTTGTTATTCTTCTTTCTTTTTATTTTATTTTTTATTTTAACTAGACTGTTTGATCTATATAATATTTTGTGTTACCATTTAAGTTGTATATTCAAGAAAAATAAATGCAAAATAAATACCTCAAATATTCCTGGCACTATTCAATTCTATATGAACATGAATAAAGCATAACGCGTATAAAAATTGAAGCTCTTAAATATTTAAAAAATTGCTCAAATCAACAAATCATAAAACGAAAAACTTACTCAATTTTGAAACTATTTCAGTTTGCGACCAAATACAAATTGCAACCTATATATTAGTAATCGTTTATTTAGGCTAGTTAGTAGGTTAGTTTAGCTAAAACGACAAGCTAACCTAGGAAATATGTAGCCGCAGACGCCGAGGCTATGCTCAGGACTTAGCTGTAATATGAGTAAATGTATTCACGTTTTCTTATAACTAATACAATAGTTGAGATAAGAGTAAAGTATTTAAAACGTGTATCCCGAGCGACCTTAACACTTAAATGTATTATTTTGACTGATTTATGTACTACTCAAAAGTATTTCGTATACACACTTTTGTACATAATTAACAATTGTATTTGCAGCCACATTTGCAAACAACATTCCGTTGAAACATTTAATTTGATTTTTATAGCGCAATTCAGTTATGAAATACATGTGGCTAAGTTGTACAAAATCGAATTATGCATTTAGCATACACTAAAAAATAAAAACAAAAAAACAAAAAAATACTTCACACATTTCACAGTACATAAACAAAGCACTCATGAGTCTACTTTTTTCTCGTACTTGTTCTTAACTTAAATGCGCTCCGATCAAATTGATATACTCTTACTCAATCACAGACGAATAATTTGATCATTTTAGGCACATTTAAAGCAACAAAAATAAAAACCATAATAAACATAAAATATGCTACGTTTACAGAAAGTGCAAACTAATTTGAAGGTATATTGCTCTATTTTGCTGGAAAGATAAAAATATCCTTTCTAGTTGCATATTCTTATATATTTATTAAATATTTATTGATCTCTGTCTCAGACTTGTTCTTAATGACAAATCTTTTGACATGACAAAAGTATATACTTATTCAGACAATTAGATAAACTGTTTGAAAGTCTTGAGAAAACTTCGCTTTATGGTTGGAATTCCTTGGAGATTGATATATATATATATATATATATGAATCTATATAAAAATGTGCAGACACAAATGAACATACTTAATATTAACATATCTCAAATATAATATCGTCAAGTCCTTGGCTGTCAAAATGTATATTGATTATATTTCGATTAAACTCGATACTTGGGTGTTTATTCCATTAAAAACGATGTGGAAGATAAAAAGACGTTGCCTGAACTCTTGTGACCCAACAGAGATTCGCTTTGGTTGGGCTCGCTCCAAGTGGGACTTGACTTTTGGACAAATCAAAAGGTCGTCAAAGTCGAAACCCAAAGGCGAGACGGATTGCTGAGCCGGGGAGGTGACTATTAGGGGACAAATGGAAATATCTTCTATTGGCAGTCAACACTTTCGTTTCTTTTCCTTTCACTTTGTTTATTTCTGTCTTTTTTTTTTTTTTTTTTGACTTTGTTTTTTCTTTTTTGTGCAGCGAAATGCTTTCATTAATCAAAAATTGCCTTTATTCAGTTTGAGATAAATAATTGCTATCTTATTATGCCGATTGTCGTTGCTGTCGCCGCCGCCGTCCCCTGCACCCTGTGCCCTGTGCCCTGCGCCGTGTGCCCTATACCCTCGTCGCTCCGCCCGGCCTGCACGCAGTCGAAGTTCTTTATAAACAGCACGGCGCCCTTTGTGAATGCTGCACGAATCGAAATCGAAATCGATCAATCATTTTTCACACTTGGCCCAGCGTCCAGCGTCAAGTGAGAGAAAGAGAGACCGCCGGGGCCCTGTGGAGTGCGCAGCTCAGATACAGATACAGATACAGCCACAGCCACAGTCACAGGCACAGGCACAGCTACAAATAAAACACTTACAGATATAGACATACTCGCAAA